CTAAACAATTTTCATAAACAAAATTATAAGAGGAAATTATAAATGGAACTCAGATTTTTTTTTGTTTAATTTTAAATGAAATCTTTTAATCCCCCACATTTTCCTACAAATAATACTCTTGCTGTTTACAGAGTAATACGGAAGAAAAAAAAAAAAGATTTAAGCAAAGGTGCTGTGTCACCAGCAGGGGGCTCTCAAAATGGCCATAAGGGTCAGGGCTGTCAACATATACATAGATAACTGTTCTACCTTTTGTTGATTTAGATGCCATCTATGTTTTCTGGTATTGTTGATGTATTGCAGAGATTTAAATATAATGCAAATGATATTGGTCCTACTTTGTATCAACCCCCTCCTCTCCAGACTGATATTGAAGAGGGCTGGCCCAGTGTGGGTTTAATCCTCTCCTAAACCGCTTCCAGACCCTGAGGAGGAAGCCTATTTATTCAGGATTGGTGACTGGATTTGGTTGTTGACTAAGAGGAAGTGCATAATGACCCAGCCTCACCCACCATGTTGCCTGTTGCAGAGAAATCACTCAAGCGACCCCTCCTAATATTTGTCAGAACTCTAGTAATGCTGTATAGCAATTCAGGGGTTATATATTTAAATAAAGAAGTATTTCTTATTACACTGATACAGTATTTATGATTTCTGACTACTATATTGATGAGCATTAAATCTTATCCCTAATTGGCCAGATGTTCAGTGAGCTTAAGGAAATACGGGGACAGATGTTTACAGACTGTAAATGAGGCTTTACATTATGCATACATTTTAATTTGTCCTCCACATGGCTGCAGTCATCACCAATTAGACACTCTTGAATGGATGCATGCAAAGCTGACAATTGCTTTTCATTCATCTATTAATGAAAAAAGAAATCATGAAGAAAGCATGGAGCATTTATTTGTGCAGTTGAGTGTGTGCTTGAGAGAGAAAAAGATACTTCAAGAATGCAGTTGCTCTATTGAACTAAATAACTTTTCTTCAATGTGTGAGGAATGCAAGAAAATAAAACAGAGGCTGCAGGACCACAGGAAGTGCCTGAAAGCAACCTCTCAGCCAAACTCACTTCATGACAATGTGGTGAGCTCACACACAAACTTGGTTTTCTTTTAGATTCGACTGCACAAGCGCTGTGTATTCCTACAATTCATTTCACTGACCCAAAAATTATGTTTTTTTTTCCACTTACACAGTATGTTTTCAGTTTGTACTTGGTAAAAACAGGCAAAAATGTGGAAGATTTGTTCTGAAAAAGGCAGATCATTTTAAAATGTTTGATTAGTCAGGCTAATCAAACATTTGATTAGCCTGACTAATCAAATGTCAGAGTTTATTAATCAGAGTTGATAATGAACAGAGTTTATTAGCTGAAACCAACTCCGCCTTATGCTTCTTTTACAAGTGTACAGAAAACAATAGGAAACATATTTCGGTGGACATTTCAACAGTCCTCTTGAGACAATTAAGGATTGTCCTCATTTTGTTTTATATTCAGAGATAGGACAAATAATTAACACAAATAATCACAAATCTGTAGTTGTGAGAAAATAATTCAGTCCAGGATTCCCCCATCTATAAAGTGACTTTTTTATGATTGTCTCAATATGAAATGAATTTAAGTATTTCAGATTTTAAACCAAAGCACATGAAATGCAGTCCAAATCATTAAAAACTGTGAACATAAATTTAGATCCAATTTGAAACCTGCAAATTTGATATTAACATCATCCTAATTAGCCAGTTGAGGTGTGCAGCTATATTTTAGTCGTGTTTACACAGAGGTGGGCTATGGCTCCCCGTGGTCAGGACAAGCAAATTAGCAATATAAAACTTTTTGAATGACTGGCAGATACTTGTTGTATTTTGAAAGTGCATCCGTCCATCTTCCCTTGACAGCTGCAGGATCGCTGGGGAACTGGTCCCTCCCACAAGTGGTTTCTGGGAGGAAGGTGGGGTACACCTTGTACCTACATCAAAAAACATAACTTATGAGCACCAAACATAAAACAATAAAAAAGTAAAAAGGTATATATCAATAAAATATGTCACAATTTATTGTAGAAAGAGATTACATTAAACTGAACAAGCCAGTTTAACAAAGTGAATTTAAGGTTAGATTTAGACGAATACAGAGACCCAGAATTATGTCTGAACTGTGGAAGAGAGCTCCAGAGACGAGGGGCTGTGCAGGAAAAGGCTCTGAACTCCATGGTTCAGAACCTTCTGAGCCTCCTACCGACGTGAAAAGACAAGCAAAAACTTCACGCAGGTATGTAGTAACAAAGCAGACCAGTGAAGTACAGAGGTGCAGAGCTGTGGAGAGCTTTGAAGGCAGGTAAGAAGGAGAACCCAGTGAAGATGTTTAAGTAAAGAGGTGATGTGTTCCTCTGCAGTAATTTTGGTAATGATCCAAGCAGCTGTGTTTTGGCATATGTGTGAATGATTAAGAATACCTGAGAGGCATCATATGCTACATCTGTTTGCATCCCCCTTCCACTCAACAATATTCATGTGAACCAGTGACATTAAGTAAGTCATAGAACGACAGGACAACCAAAAAATAAAAGGACACTCAGGAACCAATATTTTGTTTCTAAAGCCTATTGAAATCTAGCACAATTTTTCAATAATAATAATAATAATGATAAAATTTCTTAATTTTCTATTGGCTGAATTTTTATTTTCCAGGACCATAGAAAGCAGAAGTATCTAGCCATTCACAGTGAAATTACTAAAAACTTTGAATAGCGCCAAGTTTCAAGATTTATAGTACAAGTTAATCATTTTGCCTTTCAGATGAAAAAAGATTACTTTTAGATTGTGATTACATAACATGCATATACAAGATTCAATTATTCATACATGAGTGCTGTAAAAAGGTAGTTTGTGCATACACAAAAATTACCCACCGCTTCCTTGCTCATAAAGTGATAAGCAACACTCCCTAATATGTCCCTTCACAGACCTAACAAACAAACTGCTTACTCCAGCTCCATCCAAGCTAATCTAAATTTCCCTCCCAGCAGAGACAAACAATGAAGAAACAGCTCAGCATGTAACCTCAGGTAAAACCATGAACTGACGTTATCACAATTGTGTTATGAATTGAAGGTTTAATGAGATATTAGGGGGGAAAAAATCATGATTTTCATCATTAAATGCAAATGTATTTTCAAAATGTGAAATGTATTTGTATTACCCACCACTGAGTAACTTTATAGATCTTCTCTTGGCTGAAATTACAGATTTAGATCTTTTAGGGGATATGTTTCTTATATCTCTGTCCGCTAATAGAGTAAAGTTGTTGACAATTCTTCTTTGGAAAACAGCTCTAGATGAGTCAGAGCAGGTGGAGAGTGTCTGAGAGCAGCAATTTTCAAGTCTTGCCAAAGCTTCTCAATTGGACTTAGGTCTGACTTTGACTGGTCCATTTTAAACAAACAAATACACTTGGACTTAAACCATTGCACGGCACTTCTGGCTGCAATATTTAGGGATGTTGTTCTAAAGAAAACATTTCCCACTGCACGATGTTGTTGTCTTCAGCATCATGAAGAGCACAAGGTTTCTGCCACATACATTGTTTTGCCAAACAGTTTATTTTGGTCCCATCTGAAAGTAACTTCCTTCAGCATGTTTGCTGAGGACCCTCCAAACTGCAGAGCTTGGTCAAAACTATAAAAAGGCTTTATGATTACATTTCTGAAGGGAACAACTAATAGATGTGTCTTTAATCGGCATATTCTCTAAACTGTGCTTTGCAATTTGAATTTCTTTTAAGCTCCTGCTCTTGGTGACATAGTCACAATTAAGCTGTTAAAACTGAGAAGTAGTGTGTATGATGAGCTCACCAGAAGCACAGTTCTTCCAAGTGTTTGCCAATTGCTGTTGCCACTAGTCTGAAGGAGCAGAGTGGGGGAGTCCAGAAAATAAGTTTGACGACTGCAGCTCCAAGGAGGAGTTATATGGAAAAGGCAGCACTTGATGTGAGCAAGCATTTAGACACTTCCAAATGGCTACTACAGGCAATGACAGGATTACTTAAGAATGCAGGAAAGAATCAAAGAAGCAGTCAAAATGTGCTTTTAATGAGGGAATAACATCATAATATGACGTAAAAAGTTGGTTTACATAACTCCCACCTCCAAAAGATGGGAGCCCTTTTGCTCCCACCTTTGACATTGACCTCTGACTTTCTTTAAATTGCCTATATATATATATATATATATATATATATATATATATATATATATATATATATATATATATATATATATATATATATATTTTTTTTTTTTGTTTATTTTTTTCATCCAGACAAGGCAGTTTGATGGTAGAACTGGGGTGTAAATACTTATGCAAAGTTGTCTATAAATATTAGCATATTATTATCAACTCAAAAGTTATTATTAATATTGTCATTATTAATTAAACATTTATTTATTTCTTCCCCTTTATAACTTAATGTAAATGCTGACCATCATATAATATATGGTCTTCTCCATGCATATGGACACTTTCTGCATATCCAATATGTATGTATATATATATATATATATATATATATATATATATATATATATATATATTATATATATATATATATATATATATATATATATAATATATATATATATATATATAGACGTGATGCTTTGCATGATGTTTTGCTTAATACACACGGAATCTACTGAGCTCCTGCTGATTGGAACACATTCACGTTCATCGGTGTATGTTCCCATTAATGATTCAGCAGTACTTGTTAATATTAAATGTTAATGTCTGAAATATGTTCTGTTTTATAAGTACAAACTCGGAAAGAGGTCTGTCACATTCACTCTCCATTACAAGTCTGAGCAGGAAGAAAGTGGTGGTGGTGAAGGCTGTAATAAGCGCAAAGTCTTTCCTTCAACAACATGCAGCTGCGGCAGGTTGTGAAACAGTACCCGCGGCATAGCAGCCTAAGCTCAGTGGGAACAGCGTCACTACTCTTGGCATATTAACCAGCGTCCACTGTAAGCGCCAAACACACCGCGACGGAGGACGTCAGGCTCGCATCCCATCCTCAGAGCGAAATGCTCCGCGTACCGGATCTCACTCACGCTATCCTCCCGGATTCCGTCCGTCGCTTCGGAGAGGGGGCATTCATACGCACAGGTATACAAGCGGGATAAAGAACTCATCGATGAAGTAGGGAGGTTAAATTCGGAAAAAAAACCCCAAAAAAATTAACAAACAAAAAAAAAAAAAGTGGAAAGAGGTGTCACTCCCCGCCCCCCCCTGTCCGCGCGTCGAGGATGCAAGAGGAGTCAGCACAAAGACGCAACATCTGCAACTTCAGGATTTACTTGTAAAGACGTTTCGTTATTGGAGGTCGTGGAATTATAAGTAAACATGCCTGTGAGAAGGGGTCACGTTGCGCCACAAAACACGTTCCTTGGATTAATCATCCGGAAATTCGAGGGTCAGAGTGAGTATCTTTGCGTAAATTCTGCTATCTGGCGATTCTGTGGATGTCTTTCAATGAACACTGAAATAAAAGGAGAAAAGTGAATAGATGTCTCACTTTTTTTTCCCTTTTCATAAAAGCACTTAGATAACAAAGACAGCCAATATAGTTGTGTATTTCAACGTTATTGTAATAATGTTAAAAAAGAGAAAGTTTTCTTTATTGTTAAACGGAGCTTATTGTCTCACCTCTTCACAGATCGCAAATTTGTCATAGCCAATGCGAGGGTGGAGAACTGTGCGATTATATACTGTAACGATGGTTTCTGTGAGATGACGGGCTTCTCAAGACCAGACATCATGCAGAAGCCCTGTACCTGTGACTTTCTCCATGGGGACCTCACCGACAAGGAGGCGATCAACCAGGTGGCGCAGGCTGTGCTTGGCTCCGAAGAGCGCAAGGTGGAGATCACCTACCACCGGAAGGATGGTGAGTAACTAAGCATAGCAAAGCAATGTGGTCAGTGGGCATGATTAACGCTCTGGGCCTGGCCTTCCTTCGGCTACTTTTCCTACCTTTTGCTTGGGTATGGAGCTTCTTTGGCATATATTATCTTACACAAAGTTGCACTTAACTTGTGATTTATTCTACTAGATTTACAAAGAATCGGTTCTTTGTTGTTGCACTCTGTGTTTTTTTTCTTCTCTGTTGTTGTTTTTGTTGTACAAATCTTAACTGAATCTAACATTATTTGTGAATAGGCATGGAGGGGGTATTCAAAACTGATAAAATGAAATGCCAGACAAAAGTCCCAGGTAGACTGGAATTTTTTTGTGATGTTTGAAACAGAGCATAGCAGCACTGACCCTTCCCTATCTGGTGCCACACACTGGCTGGAAGATGGCTACATCTCATTCTGGCTGTAAGATGGCTACATCTCATTCTCACTTACAAGAAAGAAAATTAGCTGTTTGATATTGTTATTCATGAGAAACTTAGTCATGTGGCAGAAACTAAAGTAGCCCAGGCGTCATTCTTATTGAAACTATAACACCAAGTGTATCTATAAAAAGTGTGATCTTCTTATCTCTAAAACATCTGTGTTTTTGACAAAGCTACTATTTTCCAAGAAAGAAAATAATAAAACGCAGCGGTATTGAGCCTTATATCATAAGCCTACAGTGCCTCCCTTAGTCCAATATTCTGTCAAACACATTTGAAGAAGAATTGTCATGGAATCCAGTTGTGTTTTTAAAATTGCTTACATAAAATAAAGTGTGATTAAAATGACTATCTTCATTGGATCTTCAGCAGAGTCACACAATAAATTATAACTTGCATACAGTATACAAGGATATACAAAACAAAATAATGTCCACTGGACCATTAGCGGCTATGTTGATCCTCAAAACTTTCTAGTTCAGGAAGGATCTCTGCAAACATAGCTTTTAATATGCAAACCTTTTATGACTGACTGGAGATGTAAATAAACATTATAAATCTTGTTTGGGGCACAACTGACTGATGTGCCCCCCACGGGGTGCTTGTGATGCCCCGGAGCCTTTGTTGCTCTAGGCAGGGGACCACATCACCCGTGTCAAAAACTGTTACTGAGTGTGACCGGTAAGCATGCAAGTCAAGGAACATCTTATTTTACATGGTTCAGCCATGCTGCAGCTCCTCTTTGCTTCCCTTTCATGATCCTTTGTGTCAGTTGACCACAAACATATCCGAGTCAGTTACATGGAGGAAAGTCCACATTACCCCAGATGGGAGAACACAATGAGGGCTGTGGCTCCAGCTTGTACGTTTACTCTGAAGGTAAAAGTAAAAGTCTGACTTTGATGTTGCTGAAACATACAAAGGGCTTTCAAAATCTACTTAGATGTAATATTATTTATTTTTAGAAAATTACTATTTGAGTACGTATTTTTATTGACTGGTTTGGATTGATTGGCTACATTGGCACTGATTAATGAAAAATTGTCCTTTCACTGTGGTTGTGCAAATATAAGTAATAGAGATGCAAATCTATAGCAGATGTTGAACTTTGTAAAAAAACATCTTAAGAAGCAAGTAACTATTTCATATTAAATAGAACAGAGTTTCCTGGCTGATTTTGATCTTTGATCTTTTTTTCCAAGTTTTGATCTTGTGTGAGTGAGCAGTCACTGTAAGAAAAGTTTCTACTATCTCAAGCAAAATCTAAAATGATTTTCAAAATAATTTTTAAACCGTTTTCAGAAACTTTTATCAAACCTATAAGTGCCAGTCTCCCTGGCTATTCCATACAGATCACAAATCTTATCCTAAAAGTCTGTCAGTGTTTCAAAGTCTATCATATTTCATTAGAGTCAGAAGCGAGGGGCCTCAAAAGGTGTAAAGATGCACCTTTGCTGCATTATATTTAGGTATCTGTTTAACTAATTACAAATAGCTTCCACACTGACAAGAGTTCTGGTTAGGCCTACATGATTCTGCTCCTTCATGGTTCGTTCACTGATTGGAAAAACATAAATATTTTGTGTCTCTGACTGACCGGTCACCTTTCAGGTCCAGTCAAGTTGAAAATCAGCTGATCTGGCCACCATCTGATTTCCTTCTATGTGCCTATCTAACAGAGCCCACTTTCCTTTAAAATCACATCACAAGAGAGAAGATTAGAACAGAGGTTTTGCGAGGTCATATATGCTGAACAGGATTTAAGGTTTGATGGACTGTGGGAAACAGCAATGAAAGTGACAGATTATACAAAACAGATGAGCGGAGCCACGGTGGCATAATCTTTCCTTCTTTATGTGCAGCCATTTGGCAGCAACAGTTCTGGTCTGCAAAAACAAATGTTAAACTTGACTGTTGATTGGCATAGAAAGCTAATTAAGAAATGCATCATCACTGAACCTTCTCTTGCTGAATGTTTTATTTCTGTCTAAGTTAAGTTTTAATCCACATGGTGGAGGCTTTGTAACCAACTGCAAAATAACGTTTGATGAATTTTGGTGCAGTTTATTTTGAAGTATTAAACCAAAATAATATGGCAAAATTCGGCATGCTCTTTGTAAATTATCAAAGCAAAACTGCACTAAACAGAGCTGCCTCAAAATATTACTCTAATATCCATTATAGTAAAAAAAAAAAAAAAAAAAAAAACAAGCACTACTATTGCCTTTTAAGAACTTCACTCAGTGCATTTTCCTCAGTCTGGAAGTGGGACACTATGGGTATGCCACAATGGCCCCGTCTGTATTGCTTAATTGGGCCGAGACCCAGCTGCTAGCCCTGAGCCATGCCTGCTCAACCAGGCTGTGCAACCACTACCTCCATTTGGCCCTGGATAACTTCTATTTATCGCATGTTAAAGCTTATTGATGCTAAACTGCACAAGTAAATATAGATGTAAAGCGTTTGGACACCCCTCTCTTTGGAAGCAAAGTATTTTCTATCAGTGTATATGCAAGGATATACAAAACATAATTTTTAAATGATGATTTCATTTTTTTTAAGAAAATGACCACTCAGATTAGACTTCTACATAATATTGCCTGACTTACTAATTTAGGAATTAACTTTGACTTGCTAAGTTTTCAAAAGCTCAACAAAGTTTTGCAAACCTCATTCAGGTCGGATTACACACACCTGGGGAATCAAGAGTTTCTTTAAATAATCCTGTCTGACAGCATAAGATAAACTACAAAGAGCTCAAAAAACAACATGACTTCCCAAATATAGCAAAATTCAAGAACAGATCAGGAACCAAATACTTGAAATCTATGGGCCTTGAAAGGGATTCTGCAACTTTGAGACACCAGTGAACCACAGTGAGTCACAAATTGAGAAAATATGGAAAAATGATGAACCTCCACAGGCCAGTGAACCGAAACAAGTTTTTTCTTGATCTTGTTACCTCTATTTACTGTCCAAATAATTTGAAAAATTGCCAAATAACCAAAATCTGAGTGGGGTCAACTCCACTCCAGACTTGAAATATATTATGATTAACCAGCATTTGATGTTTATAGCTGCAAAATTACAGCCCTGATATGAATGATGTGGAGCGAAAACAGTCCTAAATGGCAGAGAATTAATACAATGTCACCACTCAGGGGCATAAATCCCCAGATTGACCACCTCCTACTGTGCTCTCTGCAGAGCTTTTTATGGCCAGCATGACTTGGCTGCACACAGACAATCTGAGGTCACTCCTCATTTAGAGCACCACATAAGTGTGCATGTTTAATTTTAATTTTTGAGCCAAGGCAGGATATTTCTTTTCGCAATGCTGTAAGTTTTGACTGACTTTCCGAGATGACTCCAGATGCATGCGCAAACAGCAGTGTCGTTTTTAAGGAGTTCAAATGGAAGTAAAGAAGTAATATTTTATTTAATCATAAGGAGCCAGGGTATTAATAATTAATTGGGAGCTTGACTACATTCTGGGCTGCGGATACATGTTTAATCTACCATCCGCAGCTATCAGCCTCAACTTCTCTTTCTTTTTTTGCTCATCTTGAACAAACTGGAAGGTAGTTACATCACTGCAGGCTATTTACACATGCCATAGTCCAGCACGATCTTTTCAAAAGTGCACATAAAGCATGTTTATTATATGGAGGAATATCTAAAAGCAACTTTGCTTTGTTTCCATCCTCATGTTACTTCTCTGTAGCAGTTCAAAATCATCTTGTACCTAGAATCTTTAAAGAGCATAGGATGAGAGCTTCGAAACCTTTTAACATTATCATTGCCTTCAGTCTCTTGACAATTCTCCCTGGTGTGCATCACAGCTTCAAGACACAACTCCTAATACTCCTCAGAGGAATTTGCAGTGAGCTCATGAATAAAGATGTCAGGTCTGACAGTGATGTGACTGGGAATGAGCAGCTTACAGAATAAATGCATTAAACTGGTATAGAAGACCCAGTTCGAAGACTTCCACTGCTATAGGGAAATTAAAGATTCATGCCATCCTGGAGAGCAATAGACCCATTGATTTAAAACCGTCTCTAAATCGAAGTCAATGGATAAAAAGTGCATTTGATGTCTCTGCTCCTCACAGTATTTCAATCTATCTGCTCTAATGCAAATAAGCTATAATCCTTCGTATTTAAACCTTTCATGTTCCTCACTGTATGTTTCTAGTTTTGAAATGAACCAGCCCCAGTTCAGACAGTTTGGCAGTCTTATTGGGTCCCTTGTTTAATGCGTGAGATTTACTGACTTTTAGTATTTAATAAAAGTCAGTTGCAACCTTAAATCTTAGATGTTATGCTTGGGTGTTTCCTTGTGTTTTTAGTAAAATGGGAAGTCTTAAAAAATGAAGTTTGGATTGATGAATCTGGGTGCCATTAAGAGCAACAAAGCTTTGGCCTTTTTTTCCCTGAACAGACAACAAGTTAAGCTGCTTATATGCATGCTGCTTAGAAATGAAAAGTAATGGAACAACAGAAAGTGCAGAAGCTCTGGAAAGACTTCCAACATGAGGGCATTTT